CTCCATGAAAGCGTCCATTTGCTCCGCCTTGAAACGCCGGCGCTTCTCCTCCCTTGAGTCCTTCTTGTTGATCATGCCGTCCACGCTTGCGATCAAAGCGTTGGTGGCCGCATCTCGCTTGTCCTCCTTCTTGGAGTTGGTCTTCCCCCGCGGTCATGCTGGCTCGCCCTCCCCAACATCCTCCACGGCTTTCTTCCCCCCACGCTACTTGAGTGCGGCAAATTGCGCCTTAACTTCTCCTCGTCCTTGATGACCCGATAGCAATGGGAGAGGTTGAAGCACTTGCCGTTGTGTTGCACCTTGAATGCCTCCAAAGCTTGAAATGCCTACAAAATGTTTCCATGCAAGCATATGGGCAAGTGATATGCAAATGAACACGCAAAGGATGAACTTGATGACACAAAAGAGGGCGGCTTGCTAGCATACAATGTCTTGAATGCCGATGCCGCTCACGGGGCGGGCCTTGACGCTCTCAAGAGTGGCGCAAAACTTGTTGCACTCTTGTTAGATCACCCTCCACCACTTGAAAATGGAGACCCATCCACGCGTGCTCACAAATTGGTACGGCGGAAACTTCTTGCGCTCATGAAACTCTCGGTGGACACGAATCCAAAAGGTTGAATGCTTTTGCTCGGCGCCCGTCTTGGGGTCTTGTCCAATGTCTCGCCAACACTCGCAAAGAAGCTTGTCCTCGGCCGCCGTGTACGCATTCGTATGCTTGCTCTTGCGCTTCGGCTTAGGACCGACGGCTTGGTTGGCGAGCTCGTCCTCGTACAAGGGCTCCACGTCAATGTCGCACTCGTCCACTTCCTCTTAACCGTAGTCGTCCGGGAACTCGTGGTCGAGGGGGAAGCCATCCAGGTCGAAGCCGACCTGATCACGCATGAAGGCCGCCTGGTCGGGATCATAGCCAGCGGCCGGCGTGAACGCCCCGCGGCCGTCCAGGCTTTGTGTCTCATCGGGATCGTAGCCAGCGGCCGGCACACCGCCCTCAAAGATGAGGTTCTGCATGTAGTCCTCGTCGGCGGCGGACGGTATTTCGTCGAACAGGTTGCGGGTGTCTGGGAGCACGCCGGCCGGCGTCTGCCGCGTGCGTTTCCTCGCGCCGGCGGATGACGATCCACCGGCCACCGGGGTGGAGCTGAGGTCGATGGGCGCGGGCGTGGAAGGTGCGATCACGCTCACTTTGGGCGAGCACTCCCCGGAGAGGCGGGAGGCCTGCGGGTAGACGTGGAAGCCGGGGATCGGTTTGCAAACTGACGCGCAGAGTCGGGCAGCACCGTCCTTGGACCCGGTGCTGGCCCCGGCGACAGCGGCTTGGACGATGCCGTGCTGGCTAGGGTTTAACCCTAGCATGTAGAGCGCCTCCCTCGTTGCCGCCACAACGCGGGCGTTGGTGACCTCCTGCTGCGCGGCGGCGACGATGGCGGCCTGAGCGGCGGCCTCATCCCTCGCGTCCGCGGCGTGCCTCCGGCCCTTCCTCTTGGCCGACTCGCGTGCCCGCAGTTCGGGCGTCAGCGCTTTCTTTGGCTTGGTCGTCGCGGCCGTCTTGCGCGGGGCATGAGGCTTGCCTTTCCCGGCGGGGGCGGCGGTGCCGGACGAGGCAAGGGAGGCGAGGCCGGCGGCGGCGTCGAGGTCCATGGCGTCGTCCATGGCTGGTTGGGGCGGGAGCAAGCGCGCGCGGGCGGGAGTGTTTTTGGGAAAATGGGGGGAAACGATGGTGGCTGCCAGCACAAGCCACAATGTCCTAGAGAGGATTCTGTTTGATCAAAGCGCAGAGCCCACGAATCTACCGTTATCACTTCTGGAAGACATCACAAATTGTTTCTCTCTTGATCACCAAATTGGCAGCGGCGGATTTGCGGTTGTTTATAAGGTACCACACAACTACATCTAATCAGCTTCTCGACGCATTCGATCTAAAATCTAAGCAAATGTATAAGATATTGAAACCACCACACACATGAGTTCCTTTTTTAACAATGTATTTTGTCACCATAGGGAGTGGTCGGGAAAGGTACGGTTGCCGTGAAGAAGCTGTCAAACACGTATGGTGTTCACGAGAATAAATTCCAGAAAGAGATTAAGTGCCTGATAAAGGCCAATCACAAGAATATTGTACGGTTTCTGGGGTATTGCGCTGACGCGCAAGGTAAAATGAAAGAGTACGAGGGGAATCTTGTCATGGCGGAGGAACGAAACTGGTTGCTCTGTTTTGATTATGTATGCAATGGGAGTCTCGATAAGCACATTACTGTTATGATGACAACGTCTGTTCTCATCTTTGTTTACTCTGTTAAAGGCTATTAATATTCATAGATTAACATGGAATTATAGCCATGTACCTAAATTAAGTAAGAAACTACAAATTCCGGCCTTTCCTTGTGCTCAGATGCAACTTGTGGACTTAATTGGAGGAAGCGGTATCAAATAATCAGGGGGATATCTGGGGGTCTAGCTTTTCTCCGTGAGAAGAGAATTCTTCACTTGGACTTGAAGCCTGCTAATATATTGCTAGATGGTCACATGGAACCCAAAATTGCTGATTTTGGTCTATCAAGATGCCTCGGTCAAGCACAAACCTGTGCAATTACTCAAAATATAATTGGAACAATGTAAACCAATCTCTTGAAAGCTCCTCATTTTGTTAGGCATGACTCTACATCTATCTGCATATTCGTTGATTGGGCTTCAGATTTTTTTTCTTATAGGGGATATACGGATCCAGAATACTGAGGTCAGGCCAAATTGGGTTCTCATCAGACGTATATAGCCTTGGCATTATAATCATGGAGATACTGACAGGAGTGAGGCAGTATCGCAAAGATGAGCATGTAAGAACGACTTAGGCGTTTGCCCCATGTTTAACTGTAGATTCAGAATTAATTATGCTATGCTTTATTAGCAAAATATCATCCTTTCTTTTTAAGATTTCCTTAAGTATCTATTTTATGGGAACAACCCCTAAGAGAGGCGGTTGACTTGTGGGGCATGGCTCTACCCATTTGGGACTCAAATCATGTTGCTCACATTTACATACACATCTGTGCACTTCATTCCTTCAAGAAAAATGCATGCACTTCACTACAAAAAATAAAGCCTATTTATGCTTCTGGAAGTACCATATGGTCCCTTATTCTAATATACCACGTAAACCAACTGATCATTTTTAATATACCCCAAGTGAATTGCATGAAAAAAAATCACAGGTGCACTTGGTTTTCTAGATATCCATTTTCTTTACTACAGAAATAGCAATTAAGTGGCTTCCATGGAAGAAAATAATTACTGTCCTTCTCTTTTTAGGATTTCCAGCATTTTTTTTCCAGCTGTAATGTAATAACTACACACATCATTATAAGAAATACTAACTCATGATTGCAACCTTATAGGCAGTTGAAAGATGGATGAATAGATTGGGGGTATCAGAGGGGGACTTGCAGTTAGAGCAAGTGAGAGTATGCAGTGAGATAGCGGTAGAGTGCATGGACTTGGACCCAGAGAAGAGACCAGATGCATATCATATAGTTGATAGGCTTGATAAAACTGAGGGCTCTGACAAATCAGATGAAACTGGCATCGACAGTTCATTCATTGAGATGCAGGTAAGTTTACCAAGTGAAAAATCTGAAGAAAGAGTTGGAAAGCTTGCAGGCGAGAGCCATCAAAACACAGACATGGAGGAACAGTCAGAGATATTGGAAGATTTTGCAGCAAAATTTGGAAGGCTTCATTTCCAGGAAGGCCAGCAGACTGTAGACCAGTTATCATTATCGGGTGGGCAGTTAGGAAAGGTCAATCGCCATGGCGCAGGCAATTCTAGCTCTATATCTACTGGGTTCAACGAGTTGAACATTTTAGACATCTACATCAGAACAGCCCATAAGATTTTTGATAGGAACAACAGGCGTACACTGGAACAGACACATTTTATAAATATCTTCAGAATGGAGAAGCTCAGTCCAATAATAAGGAGTAAGAATCTCATCGAAGTAGGTTTCTTCACTAAAGTTTACAAAGGTGTTGTTGATAATGCACTGGTTGCACTAAAGCAAACGTTTGATGTTAATAACAAGGATTTAGAAAATGAAGTCATCATCCAGTCTCAAATCGCCCACAAGAATATTGTTTGGCTCATAGGTTGTTGCCTAGAAAATGATAAATCCATTCTAGTTTACGAGTTCCTCCCCAGAGGAAGCCTTCATGACATTCTTCACAGCGAAAGCAAGGTGCCTCTCAACTTGGATGTGCGTCTAAATATTGTTGCAGAATCTGCACAAGGTCTAGCTTATCTGCATTCACAAGCTCGTACCAAAATCCTGCATGGTGATGTCAAACCGGAAAATATACTCCTGGATGAAAACTTTATGCCAAAGATCGCAGGCTTTGGCATATCGAGGTTGATTCCGATTGATGGGCAACACACTTCAACCATCATTGGTGACGTGAATTATATCGATCCAGTATACATGCAAACAGGTCTACTGACAGAAAAAAGTGATGTGTACAGTTTTGGAATTGTGATCTTGGAGGTCATTAGCAGGAAGAAGGCCACTCATTCTGACAAAAACAGCCTAGTGAGGAGTTTCCTTGAGGTTCACAAAGAAGGGAAGAAAGCAACCGAGCTGTTTGACAAGGAAATTGCACTAACAGAAGAAGATTTGGAGCTCCTTGACTGTCTTGCAGAGATTGCTGTGGAATGTGTTCACGTTGTTGTGGATCATAGACCCACAATGACAGAAGTTGCAGAGCGCCTTCTCATACTGAATCATTCTCGTAGGTTATATGCACGACATACAAGTGTTGACCATTCATATGAAACTGACATTAGCAGTTTATTTGTTGAGCAACAGAAAGTAGGTCATTTACCAAGGGCAGTGCAAGATACTAGCCGTCGTGGCGGAGGAAATTCTAGTGGGTTCTTCAAGTTGAACAATTTGGACATTTTCAATTGGAAAGGGCGCAAAAATATCAATAGGAACAACATTCACGCATTAGAAATGTCACATTTTATAAAGCTCTTCAGAAAGGAGGAGCTCAAGCCAATAATAAGGGGAGCCAATCTTATTGGAAAAGGTGGCTTCGCTGCAGTTTATAAGGGCTTTGTTGATAACACACTGGTTGCGGTAAAGATACCGATTGGTTCTGGTGTGGTAGAGAATGCACAATTTGAAAATCAGGTCATCAACATGTCTCAAGTCAGCCACAAGAACATCGTTAGGCTCATAGGTTGTTGCCAAGAAGCAGATCACCCCATGCTAGTGTTCGAGCTCGTCTCCAACGGAACCGTGAATGATATTCTTCATGGCGGCAACAATGCGCCCTTAAAGTTGGACGTGCGTCTAACTATTGTTGCAGAATCAGCACAAGGGCTAGCTTATCTCCATTCACAAGCTCGTATCAAAATCCTGCATGGTGATGTTAAACCGGCAAATATACTCCTGGATGAAAACTGTATGCCAAAGATTGCAGGCTTTGGCATATCAAGGTTGATTACAGGAGATAAGGAACACACTAGGCGCGTCATCGGTGACATGAATTATATGGATCCAGTGTACCTGCAAACAGGCCGGTTGACCTTGAAAAGTGATGTGTACAGTTTTGGAATTGTGATCCTGGAGGTCATTAGCAGGAAGAAGGCCACTCATTATGACGAAAACAGCCTAGTGAGGAGTTTCCTTGAGGTTCACAAAGAAGGGAAGAAAGCAACCGAGCTGTTTGACAAGGAAATTGCAGTAACAGCAGCAAATTTGGAGCTCCTTGACTATCTTGCAGAGATCGCTGTGGAATGTCTTAACCTTGATGTGGATCAAAGGCCCACGATGGCAGATGTCGCGGAGCACCTTGTCATGCTGAATCGATCTCGTAGGTCACAAGCTGTTTAGCTATATAAAAGTTGAGGCATATCGTGGTGTGAACAACATTCATGTCTTGGAATAAGGTAGGCAACTATCACTATCAGTGTTTGATTTATCTCGTTGTTGTATGGAACCATGATGTATGATGCAAATCTGCTTCTTGCTTTGTTCAGAGAGAGTTTGCTCTTAGAGAGAAAATGCATTGAGCAACGGGGTAAGCAGTGCGTCAAGAATCCTTGGATGATAACTTTATACTCCCTCCGTCCGAAAAAACTTGTCATCAAAATGAACAAAAAGGGGTGTATCTAGAACTAAAATACATCTAGATACATTCCCTTTTATTCATTTTGATGACAATTATTTCCGGACGGAGGGAGTACCAAAGATCTCAGACTTTGGCTTACGAAGTTGATTACGGGAGATGAGGAACACACTGGACGCGTCATCGGTGACTTGAGTTATATGGATCCAGTATACATGCAAACAGGCCTGCTGACCTTGAAAAGTGATGTGTACAGTTTTGGAATTGTGATCTTGGAGCTCATTAGCAGGAAAAAGGCCACTAATTCTGATAATCACAGTCTAGTGAGGGACTTCCTTGAAGTTTACAAACAAGGGAAGAAAGCTACCGAGCTGTTTGACAAGGAAATTCTTGACTGTCTAGCTGAGGTTGCTATGGAATGTATTGATCTTGATGTGGATAAAAGGCCCACGATGACGGATGTTGCAGAGCGCCTTCTCATACTGAATCGATCTTGTAGGTCAAAAGTTATTTGCCAATAAGTTTACTTGTATTGTTGTGTGAACCACATGCATGTCGTCGAATAACATAGGCAACTCTCAGTGTTTGATTTATTTTGCTGTTGTGAACAACATGTTTGAAAGATATAGAACAACGATAATATAATGCAAATCTAGTTCTCCCTTTGTTTAGAGGAAGTTTGCTGTACATGAATACTACTTGCTGCAGACATATCAGAGTACAATTTTCGGACAACACATGGCAAGATGATGAGTCCAACAACTCTGATCGATCTTAATGAATCTTAAGTGTATTGAAGCCCTGATGTCGCTTGGCATGAAGGACCATGGTGTTTGCTTCCCAAGAACTAAAAACAAGCGTATGATGTTGTATGTTTTCTGATAATTATGATGTTTGTCGATTTGAACTATTTTTGGTACTTCCTTTTCAAATTCCTTTGTAGATCCTCTATTGGTCCATATTGGTGGGAAATCAGTAGTTAAGTGAAGTTTACGTCGATCGAGATCGAATAATTAGTAGGTCATGTGATGCCTAAATGCCTAATGTGTGCTAGTGACTGTTCATTGCATATTTGTGCCATCTTCAGTCAAGCTCTCCAAATTTCTGGAGACAGTGAATGAATCAGATTTGTTTGTGCTCTTGGTGAAATAATTTTCTTTAACTGACTTGACAAGTTGTATTGCACTTTGCTATATTGTCAGATGGATTCATTCTGATTCAGATGTTGTGATTATTGACCAGTTTATGTAAATCTGTAGATTGGCAGAATTATGCATATCACTTGTTCAAAAAAAAAACATAAATTCTTTCCTGAATAATGAAATCATACAAATACTTGCAGAAACCATTTAAATCAAAGGTACCTTTCATATGTTTCTTTTCCAGCCAAAAATAGTACTCAAATTTTAAAAATAATTTAAATCAAACCAATGATTTTTTTTCTCGAATTTGTTCCCAGTGAATGAGTCGAAGGATTTAAATCAAACCTGAAAAATGATTAAATTTCCAGCGAAAACAATTTAAATAAACCAGTGATTTTTTTTCTCGGATTTCAAAAGATATTCACGATTTTAGAAAATATTCCCGGATTTCAAAAAATATTCGTGCATTTGCAAAAAAGTTAATGATTTGAAAAATATCCCAAATTCCAAAAAATATCCAGCAATTTAAAAAATGTTCCCGGGTTTCAAACTCCTGAATTCTAAAAAAAAGAAAATGAAAAACTGAAAAATTAAAAAGAAAAAATATAATAAAACGAAAAGGAAAATGAAAAAACGAAATAAAAAAGAAAATGAAGAAGGAAAACAAAGAACTAAAAAAAGGGTGAACCTTCCCAAAAACGAAATGGGGAACTAGTTTGGAGAGGAACTTGTATTACCTATCTTTGTGCCTAAAAAACTATCTTGTAATTAGAAATTCTAAAAAAAGGAAAAAAATCCATCTGTAATTAGCATAAATTAACACAAGCTGACCCTGATTAGTTAGATGGAACCTCAAATTTTAGATGATTAGTTTTCTACATATAGTTTGGACTATTAAGTTTGGATCATGATAAATACCACACGTATGACACGAACACACGACAACTCCGAACGTTTTTAATGACAAGTTTAGTGACACGAGGATAACAATTTTGGTTGTCAAGCATGGCAATTTTCTTTTCGGATGGCAAGTTTCAGCTTTTTGGGTAGGTTTGATTTTTTCTTTTCATATGGCAACTTTAATTGTAAAAAATGTCAAGATCGGAGTGCTCCATGCCACACGTGTGGCATTTATCATTTGGGGGTAAAATTTTTACACATGGGTTGTTTGAGATGTACGATCAAATGTGGCCATTGTCTATGATTTTTTTTTTGCAGGCTCTTATCTATCTATGAATTTATTTGCACTATAGTTGGTCCAAAGTTCTCCATCACCAAAACACATTGGAAATACTCCTTGTTGTATGCATGACCCAGCCGGACAAAACTCTGGCGCAAACACCCCTCGTGAATGCAATGTTACATTGATGCTCTTCCTCATTTGTAAACCCTGGAAAAGTCAAATAGGCCCTAAAATGCATTTTTTAAAGAGCAAAACTACAAAATTATACCGCCGCAAACACCATCATAGATGCAAGGTTACATTGATGCTCTTCCGCGTTTGCGAGCCCTGGAAAATCAAATAGGCCCTAAAATGCATATTTGAAGTTGCAAAAGTACAAATTTATACCGTCTTGGATCTTTATAGAAGCGACTATCATGTGAATATTCACCTAAAGTTGTTTGAATACAGCATAGGAAACACCTGAAGTTCTTGTCAGGACGTCGGAGTTGGAACCCCAAGAAAACATGAATCTATTTTTATTTTTTTTGTGGGAAGAAACATGAATCTGATGCAAATGAATTCTTAAATTAAATCCTATACATTTGGATCCTACATATCATTTGTTTCAAAATAAAACAACGTATTTGTTTCCTGAATATTGAAATCCTACAAATACTTAGTACGTAGTACTAGAAAACAATTTAAATCAAAGATACCATTCATATGTTTGTTTGGCAGCGAAAAAGGGTACTCACTGAAGAACGGGGCCCACGATCTCCAACTCCCAACCCCCTCTCCCACCGAACGCGCTCCCTCGCTCTCCCTCCTCGCCGCCGCCGCCCCTCCGCCGCAGCCCATCAGCCTCCTTGCGCCTAAGCTCCATTGCATCTTGCGCCTGTCCCTGATAATTTGCGGAGGAATCGAGGAAGATGAATCCCTGCACGCTCTTGGTGATCCCCGCTCATGTCCCCGTCCAGCATCGCCGCCATCGTCAAGATCCAGAACAGGGGAAGGCACCGCCAGCCCCAATGGGCCAGGTGCTCTGGACTAGGACGCACCTCCTCCGGGCCTCCCCCTCATCGGTGAGCATACCTACCTGCCTTTTTCGAGAAGTTCTGTAGTTCCTTATGGGTCTTTTGGAAATCGATGCGCACAAATTAATCAATCCATCTTTGCTTGAGATACAAACTGGTTAAGCTCGATTGATTAGTTTGTACCAATTCGCCGGTTTGTATTACTTATACATTTATACTGCGCGGATGCTGGGAGGGGTGTTCCACCTATCGAGAGTTTACAATGTGCCACTGACAAATTGTACATTATACTATTGCCACTAAACAGAGAAGGAGGTGTGGTTAGCTAGGCATTGTCAGGGAGAATCAAAGCAAGGCAGGCAGTGAGGCTAGCTCGCTCGGCTGGGCATTGACTCTCTACTTCCTCACATATCCATCGATCCCATCGGCCATGCCACTGTGAGCAAGATCCATTTCATATCTCGCCAGAGAAAAGTCACCTGCCGAGGGATTGCTTTGCCCATTCATCAACCGGTCTTTGGAGCTGAGGTATTTATGTGTTAATTCGTAGCTTAATTGACCAGTCTCTTCTCGATCTGATTTTCTTCGGATGGAAGCGACTCTAGGTAGTGCATTATCTCGTCATGATGATGCAGATGCCGGGGTGTTTCCCCTTTTCGAAAAAAGAAAAAGAAAAAAAAATCTCGTGTCCATGCTCTGATTTCATCTTAATCTCCTCGCTGAGTTTCCTTGCTAGGTACTCCCTTTAAACTGCAAAAATGCCTTGCATTAAGTTACAGTGGCTCTAGTAGTATCTAATTCCTTGGCATGTCAAGCGTACATATTGTTAAAACACCTGTTGGAGAAGCTTACATCTTCAAGACTCTCCCTTTTTTGGTCAAATCAAAGTGCTCAAAGTACCCTGCGATGACACCAGGGTGTGGTAATTAGTTACTCCCTCCTTCCATCTACACAGGGCCTAAGTTTTGAATCTCTCATACCAAGGCTGTTGCATAAAAAGAGTATCGTGATCGCATCATCAATTCTGTGAATAAGCAAAGAAACCAAGAGCACACCTGCTTAATTATTTACCTTTTAATTTCAACCACATAAGTCAAAAATATGGTTCCACCCAGTACTGTGTTGACAAGGGGTGGAAAACTTGAAATATGACTCCGTCAAAGTAAATTCAAAATATAGCATGCACTTGATCAATTCTATTGCTGTGTGATGCATCATTTCTTCATTCCGTAATTGTTCCTTCCATGATTGATTAATCGTGTAATTATGTATAGTAGTAGCTACCCTCACTCTAAAATGTAGGCATTAATTGCTCTTGCTTTTTTAGATCATCACTGCTCTTGTTTTAAGTGTCCTTTCATTTCTTTTGCAGTGATTGCAAATGGACCATGAAGCCGGCACAAGCCAAGTTCATGTCCTGGATAGGCTTCTGCTTGATGAAAATGCAGACCCCACAAACCTGCCGTTTTCACTTCTGCAAGACATCACAAATCATTTCTCTCTTGATCACCAAATTGGTAGCGGCGGGTTCGCGGTGGTTTATAAGGTACCACACAACTAGACCCCGTCAGCTTGTTTCTCCGATCCTAATCACAGTCGGTCTAAAAGCTAAACAGACACATATCAAAAACTCACACCACCACATGCGCACGAGTTCTTGTTAAACAATGTACTTTGTCGCTGTAGGGAGTGGTCGGCAAATGCATGGTTGCCGTGAAGAAGCTGTCCAACACGTTTGCTGTTCCCGAGAATAAATTCCATGAAGAGGTTAGAAACCTGATAAGGGCCAAGCACAAGAATATAGTACGGTTTCTGGGATATTGCGCTGACATGCAAGGAAAAATGGAAGAGTACGAGGGGAATCTTGTCATGGCAGATCAACGGAACTGGTTGCTCTGTTTTGAATATGTATGCAACGGGAGTCTTGATAAGCACATTTCCGGTAGGTTGAAAACGTCTATTCCCATATTTACTTAGTTAAAGGTTTAAATAAATACATGTTGTTTACTTATTATGTCACATTATCGCCAGGACCTAAATTAAGTAAGAAAATACATATCTCGGTCGCTTTGTGTGCAGATGCATCTTGTGGACTTAACTGGAGGGAGCGATATCAAATAATCAGGGGGATATGTGAGGGTTACTTTTTCTCCATGAGAAGAGAATTATTCACTTAGACCTTAAGCCTGCTAACATATTGCTAGATGGTCACATGGTACCCAGAATTTGTGATTTTGGTCTATCAAGATGCCTTGATAAAGGTCAGACCCGTTTAATTACTAAAAGCCGGTGTGGAACACTGTAAGACAACCTCCTGAAAGCTATTCATTTTTTTATGCACGGCTTAATTACTTTACATTTATTTGCACATTCATTTATCGTGAGACCTTTAAAATCTTCTCACAGGGGATATATGGATCCAGAGTACCTCAGATCAGGAAGAACCACATTTGCGTCAGACATATACAGTCTTGGCACTGTAATCTTGGAGATACTAACTGGAGTGAAGCGGTATCTCGAAGAGGAGACCGTAAGAACAATTAAGGCTTTAACTGCAAGCTTCGGTGTATATTTTGAAATAACTGTGTTCTGCTTTAACTTAGCAAAAATATAATTTTATGATATTTTCTTTTATTCCTAGTTTATGAAAATAGCCTGTCAGTGAGGTGGTTGAGTTGTGAGGCATGAGTCTACTCATCAGAATTCAAATCACATTTACATAAACATGTGTGTGTTTTCACTATGAAAGAAAAACATATTCATACGTTGTAGTCTCACATCCTGATATGCCACTTAAACAAACTGACAATATACATGTGTGATAGTATGTATACTTTAATTGCAAAGTACCCGATGCAAATTCCATGAAATTAAACCTTTGTCTACATTATAGGTATAAACAATATATACGCAAATTAGGCTAAAACATGTGGAATGAAATTAAATGGTTCCAATGAAAATCATCATGCCACGTTTGTAGGTGGAGCGGTGGATTGTTCGTTATGAGCGGGTGTTACTGTAGCGTTTAAAACTCTGTAACATCCATGGTGGTTTGGGATTCTTTCCCCACTCTTCTATAAAAGATGATACGCACACTCGTGCGTATTCGAGAAAAAAAATCATCATGCAGAAGGGGAGCCTTGGCGCAACAGCAAAGTTGTTGCCTTGTGACCATGAGGTCACGGGTTCGAGTCCTAGAAACAGCCTCTTGCAGAAATGTAGGGAAAGGCTGCATACAATAGACCCAAAGTGGTCAGACCCTGCGCAAGCGGGAGCTACATGCACTGGGCTGCAATAAAAATCATCATGGTCTATTTTTTTAGGTTACCAGCACTTTTACTGCAGTAGCTGTAATATAACAATCACATATATCATCAAAATTGGTTATAGAAATACTAACTCGTGATTGCAACCTTATAGGTAGTTCAAAGTTGGATGATTCGGTTGGAGGCATCAGTGGGGGACATGCAGTTGGAACAAGTGAGAGTATGCTATAAGATAGGTATAGAATGCATGAACCTGGACCCAAAGAAGAGACCAGTTGCACACCATATAATTGATAGGCTTGACAATATGGCAAGTGCTGACTGTTCATATGAAACTGGCACCAACAGTTCATTAGTTGAGCTGCATCCGAGTTTATCAAGTGAACAATTGGGAGGAAGGCTCGCAACCGAGAGACTCCGCAAAGCGGATGCCGAGGAACACTCTAAAATATTGGAAGATTCATCATGCGGAGCCCAAGATACAAAGCAAAAGGCAAACCAGCATATTGCAAACATTTTAAACTCTATCTCAACCGTCTTCAACAAGCTGAACAATTTGGACATCTTTAACAGCAAAGCACGCATGTGTTTCAATAGAAACTTCATGCGACATAGATTAGAAGAATCAGCTACTATAATGATCTTTGCAAAGGACGAACTCAAGCCAGTACTCAGGAATAGCAATTTGATTGGGAAAGGTCCTTTTGATGAAGTTTACAAGGGTGTGGTTGATAATGCACAGGTCGCAGTTAGGAAACTATATAATGGTAATGCCATAATGGATGACCAATTTGCAAATGAGATCATCATCTGGTCTCAAGTCAACCACAAAAACATTGTTAGGCTCATAGGTTGTTGCCTGGAAATGGATACCCTCATCTTAGTATACGAGTTTGTCCCCCGAGGAAGCCTTCATGACATTCTTTACAGCAACAACAAGGTGTCTCTCAGCCTGGATGTGCGTCTAACTATTGCTGCAGAATCAGCACAGGGTCTAGCTTATCTGCATTCGCAAGCTTTTAACCAAATTCTGCATGGCCGCATTAAACCAGCGAGTATACTCTTGGATGATTACTTTACACCAAAGATCTCAGACTTTGACCTGTGGGGGCTGAATGTGAGAGATGAGGATCCAGTGTACATCGTTGACATGTCTTATGCAGATCCACTATACATGCAAACGGGCCTGCTGACCGAGAAAAGTGATGTCTACAGTTTTGGAGTTGTGATCTTAGAGCTCATAAGCAGGAAGGAGGCCTGTCGTTCTGCTAATAACAGCCTAGCGAGAAGTTTCCTTGAGGTTCACGAAGAAAGGAAGAAAGCAACCGGGCTGTTTGACAAGGAAATTGCAGTAACAACACGAGATTTCGAGCTTCTTGACTGTCTTGCAGAGATTGCAGTGGAATGTCTTGACCTTGATGTGGACCAAAGGCCCACGATGATAGAACTTGCGGCACGCCTTCTCATACTGAACCGATCTCGTAGGTCAAGGGTTGTTCACCAACAAGTTTGATGCTGCATGCTGTCTGAACAACATGCATATATATCCTCGAATAGGATGGGCAGCTGTCAATGTTGATTTATTTTGCGTTTGTGAACAAAATCCTTGAAGCATATGAATACTACTTGCTGCAGAGATATCAGAGCACAACTTTTGGGCATCACATGGCCAGCTGATTAGTCCAACATGACCGTTTCCTGTTCAATGAACTGCTGCTGATCACCGGAGCCCTGATGCTGCTTGGCGTGAAGGACCACGGTGTTTGCTTTTGATGAACTGAAAACAAGTTTAAACCGATGTCTGTTTTCTGATTATTATGATGCTGTCGATTTGAACTATTTTTGGTACTTTTCATTTGAAACTCCTTCTATAGATCATCTGTTGGTCCTGGTCCACACCGGTGGGAAATTAGTAGTTAAGTGAGCAATAGTTTCATATTAACAGGACTATATGCAGTTTTCTTCAATTGATGTTTGTTCAGATGGAAGAATTATTAGTTCATGTGGTGCCTAACGTGTGCTTGTGGCTGGTAATTGCATATTGCTAGTTCATGCTCACGGAGAGAGAACAAAATTTGTGCAATCTTGAGCCAAGCTCTCAAAAAAAATTTGGTGACAGTGAACGAGTCAGATATGTTTGTGCTTTTGGTGAAAGAATTTTTTTTAACAGACTTGAGATCGAAGTTGTACTGCACTTTGGTAATATCATCAGGGGGGGGTTCATTCTGTGATTCAGGTGTTGTATGATTCTGGACCAGTCTACTATCATACTGTAGTCATTGTCATGATATTTTGACAATTCCGGCAGGGCAGCTAGGATTTTTGTAGAGAGAGTCTGATACTTGACACCTTACATGAAAGATTGGCAAGAGAATACATGCACAATTCTGTAAATCTCTAGGTTGGCAGCATTCTGCGTATCGTAATTTACAAATCAAAGATACCATTCATATGCCTCTCTTGTGGGGAGACAGAGTACTCACTGAAGAATGGGGGCAAGCAGAGGCACGCTGTCCCACTCCTCCTCCTTCCCCTCCTCCCCGCCGCAGCCCATCAGCCTCCTTGCGCCCAAGCTCCATTGCATCTTGCGCCTGTCCCTGATAATTTGCGGCGGAATCTAGGAAGATGAATCCCTGCATGCTCTCGGTGATCCCCATGTCACTGTCCACCATCGCCATCATCGCCAAGATCCAGAACAGGGGCAGGCGCAGCCGGCCCGAATGGACCAGGTGCTCCTCCAGGCCTCTTCCTCGTCATTGGGTGAGCGTACCTAGCTACCTGCCCCTTTTCGACTAGTATGTATATGCATCTTGGAAAGCGATGCCCACAGAACAGATTAACCAATCTCTGTTTTTTGATGGCAAGTTACTAATTAAGCTCCATTGATTAGTGAGTGCCAATTGTTAATCAAGCTGCACTGCATGAAGGCGTTCCACCTACCGACAGTATACCATGGCTATATATAACCGTTTTATTAATTATGGTTCTGATAGCTGCCACTGACAAATGACAAAGTTGCACATTATACTACTAGTACCACTCCACGTAGAAACACATGTAATTAGGTAGGCGTGTCGTTTTATTAATCAGAAGCAAGGTAGGCAGGAGGCTAGCTCGCTCCTCCTGCCATTGACTTCTCCTTCTTCACATATCCATCCATCGGCCATCCAAAAATTGAGCAAGATCGGTTTCATAACTGCAAAATAGAACTCGCTGAGAATTGCTTTGTCAATTGATCCATCGATCCTTGTAGCCAAGGTATTTATGTGTTAATTTGCAGCTTAATTAATCTGTTTCTTCTTGATCTGATTTTCTTCGGATCAAAGGCGCCCATGTTCGTCTTAATTTCTTCTTGAAATATTCTTGCTAGCTACTAGTAGTAGCTAATTTCCTTGTCATGTCAGCCATACATCTTGGTAAAAACACCCGTTGGAGAAGCTTACATCTTAAGGCGTGTTCGGACTCTCTCCACTCCTCAACTCCGCTCGTGGAGCAGGTGGAGCGGCGCCGAACGCCCGAACTCTGCGGAGTTGAAAATCTGGAGCGGAGCAGGCTACAGTGCAATTCCACGGAGCTACAGTTTTCAGGATCTCAGATCTGTAGAATCACAGAGTTGATAATATTTACGAAAGAACTGCCACCGCCGCGCCCGACTCGCTCGCTTATGCGGTTCTGCCGAACAGTTTTTTTTCTAGCGCTATTTTTTATAAGGAGCAGCATTTTGGGTGGAGCCGGAGTTGAGGATTCAGAGGAGCTGGACCATTTCCGAACAGGCTCTTAAAGCCTCTTCATTTTATTTTTAGGTGAACGCTGAATGGTCAAAGTAACTCACACCAAGATGTGCCAATTGATTATCTTTGTAGAAGGACAAGTTATGGGCTGTGCAATCTCAATGTATTCATCGGTGCACCAGGCACGTATATATAAGTACAGAGGTGGGCCACAACCTCAACTATACAAGGAAATAGGAGGTGGGCCCTACACA